CACTGCACTCCAGTCTGGGCGACAGAGTGAGACTCCAACTCAAAAAAAAAAAAAAATAGATGCCCAAACTTCATCATCACACAATATACTCATGTAACAAACCTAAACATGTACTCCTTGAGCCTCAAATAAAAATTAAAAAAATTTAAAATAATATGTTCTGGGTTTAAATTACATATATAATTGTCTTACTCTTTTGAGCTGCTATAACAGAATACCTGGGACTGGGTAGCTTATAAAGACCATAAATTTATTCTCTCACAGTTCTGGGGCTAGGAAATTCCAGATTAAGGCACCAGCAAGTTCAGTCACTGGTTGCAAGGTGACACCTCACTGCTGCGTCCTTTGGAGGAAGGAACATTGGATCTTCACCTGGCAGAAAAACTCATCCCACTCTCGCAAGCCCTTCTTATAGCAGCATTCATGAGGGTGCTATTCATGAAGGTGGAACCATCATGACCAACACACCTCCCATTAGGCCCCACAAGTTTCAACATGACTTTGAAAAGAACAAAAGCATTCAGACCATATCAGTAATTTAAAAATGTAAAAAGAAACAGATAAAATTAATTTTAATAATACATTGTATTTAGCCTAATATGTCCAAAATATCGTGTAATCGATAACATGCAATCAATATAAAATTATTAACAAGATACTTTATATTATTTCTTCGTACTCCCTCTTCACAATTCAGTATTTTACACCTATAGTGCATCTGAATTTGAACTAGTCACATTTCACGTGATCAAGAGCCACATGTGAACTAGTGGCTACCACATAGGACCATACAGTTCTAGAGGAAGCATAGCATGACTTTGTGGTCATCCTGCCTGTTATTCACAAAAAAGTTAAGTACATCTTCTGGGGTTATACAAATAGTAGAAGAGGCAGAATGAGAATCCAATGGTTTTCACCCTACCTCACGGTTTTATTCACAAAACTGATTGGCAGCAAAGTTGGACTAGAACTTACGCCTCCTCACACCTGCTCTGGGGCTCTCTTTTACAAGGCACTGCCCTCTACCTTTTCCACCTTTCTCCTAAATAAGCTATAAAGTTTCACTGGAAACCATCTGGCTGTGAACCAAGCCCAACATGGAGTCTGATTTTTCCATATCAGACATAATTTCTTTTTATGACTTGTTACCCTTGTCCTCGGAAACTCGTGGTTTCAACAAGCTACTTAAAAACGCTGATTCCTTTATGCAATGGTTCTCAACAGAAATGCCCACCAGAATCACCTGTAGTTTTAAAAAAAATTTTTTTTTGAGCTGGAGTCTCACTCTGTCGCCCAGACTGGAGTGCAGTGGCCGCTCCTGGCCACCGCTGCCTCGACCTGCTGGGCTCCGGTGATGCTTCCGCCTCAGCCTTCCGAGTAGCCGGAATTACAGGCATGCGCTACCATGCCTGGCTGATTTTTTGATTTATTGTAGAGATGAGATCTCGCTGCCCAGGCGGGTCTCAAACCCGCGGGCTCAGGCAATCCACTCACCTCAGCCTCCCAAAGGCACGGGATTACAGGCTGAGCCACCGAGCCCGGCTAGAACTTTTATAAATTCAAATAACTGGTCTCCTACCCCAGAATTCTGACAGGGAGATTCATGTAGATTGCTATTTTTAATGGTTCCTGAATTATTCTGATGCACACTTCCAACTCACAATGACCCCACCAGTTGCCAGATCATCACTGATGTCCTCAACCCCCAGTCAGGAGCTTCTCAAGTTGGGGAGGAGATTGGTCTTTAAAAAAGAAACATGAGAAATCGACACCCTGAGCACCTCCCAGGGCGGGGCCACCTGTCTTACTCCTCCATGCTCTTTCTCAGAATCCAAGGACACCTTTAACCTCATTTCCTGATCGTACAGCCTCACCTGCGGTGCTGTCAGAGCCAATAGGGCAGGCAGGAATGCAGCAGACAAGACTCGTCATCACAGCCTTGGCTGTCTGTGTGGCCCTACGCACCTCAGAAGGTAAGTGTGGGCGCCAGCCACCTAAATCTCCCATGGAAGTGGGGTGCCTCCCAAATTCTTGCTGGCAGGAATAAGGTGGGGCAGGAATCACTATCTCTTCAGGTAAGAATTTCCAATTGATTTCTGATTTTCTACAAGGAAACGGCGTAGGTTTAACATGATCTCCAAGAAATTTCAGGAAGGAACCCCACTTTAACAGGATCATTAGTAATTTGCCACCTGGAGGATCGTCATTCCACACTGGTGCAACTCTGATCTGAGTTTCCTTTTCTAGCGACAACAGGTTAGAAAATTTCCAGCTAGAGTTTGGATAAAGTCCCTATTATTTATCTGTCTTCCCTTTTGTCCAACCTGCTAAACTGTCTGAACAACAAATGTATACATTCTTAGAGAAAAAGACAGACTTGATCAACTGGGTTCTGGTCAGGTAAGTTGTAAATTTCCGGAGCAAATTCAGCCCTGTGGATACTGAAAAGTGAAACTTCAGTGTGACCTTTAAAAAGGGAAGCAGAGCCCAGCATAGTAGTGCCTGCCTGTATCCCCACCAACTCAGGAGGCTAAGGTGGGAGGATTGTTTCAGGCCAGGAGCTGGAGGTTGTAGTGCACCTGTGAATTGCCACTGCACTCCAGCCTGGGCAACATAGTCAAACTCTTAAACAAAAAAGTAAAAATAAAAATAAACAAATAAGGATGAAGGAGATTGAACCATACAAATTAAATCAGAGAGAATTTAGACTGTGATCTGCCAGCCTATCTATGGAGATTGTAACTGCCTTTGGACTGGAGAGAATTTATTTTACAGCAGCCCTTGAATGAACTGGTATTTATTACTTGACTTATGACTCTTTTCCAGTGTCATCTTTTTTTGGCTTTACCCCAAACAGACTCCCTAAATGTAAGTTTTTTTTTTTGTCTGCTTTTTAGAAAATTGAGTCAATATTTAAAAACACAGATTTATGGAAGGCTGAGGCAGAAGGGTCACCGGAGCCCAGCAGGTCGAGGTTGCGGTGGCTGGGAGCGGCCACTGCATTCCAGTCTGGGCGACAGGGTGAGACTCTAACTCAAAAAAACAAAACAAAACAAAACAAAAAACACAGATTTCACATGCACATATTTGTATATATACACATAGAAATTTGATTTTAAAGCTTTTCTTGAAAAATCACACTTGGCAACAATGGTTCCAGATACACATGTAGGAGCTGGTTGAAGCGGAAGAGCCTCTATGCTTCTGAATTTACTACCTGGTCCCCATAGGCAATTGTTTAGGGATTCCAATATAGTACACCAATGTACTGGGCTTATAGAAATACACAGAAGAAAAAAAATCTGAATAATCTCTTTTGCATTTAAATCAACCTATTTATCTTATCAAGATAAAGACAAAAGTTTGCCATTTTATATGTTTCTGTAACGTTTTTCAGAAAAATTCACCATGGAAATTTTAGGACTCCCTTTCGGCATTTTTTGAAGGTCTACCTACTAAGGCTTTACTACAACTTTTGGCAACTCCACCAACTCAAAAATGTTTTTACATGAAGCTTTGAAATAAAGGTCTATCTCCTTTCCAACTTCCTGATTCAATTGTCCCTGCAGCAGCAGCCCTCCTACAAGAAAGGAGGGAGGGAGGGGCAGGTGGAGGAAGCAGAGGTTCATGAGGAAGGCTCTGCCATACCCAGGACCAAACTTCAAAAGTCCCATGTGAAGTTTGATCCTGGGTATGGCAGAGCCTTCCTCATACCATAGGGTATGGTAGAGAAGGTGGGACAGCAAAATGCAGGGGTTTGTGAAAAGGTACTGCTGGTGATCATAAAGAAAGGGAACTGAGGCTGGGCACAGTGGCACATACCTGTAATCCCAGTACTTTGGGAGGATAAGGAAGCAGGATTGCTTGAGTTCAGGAATTCATGACCAGTCTAGGCAACATAGAGACCTTGTCTCTACAAAATAAATAAATAAGCAAGCAAGCAGGGCATGGTAATGTGTGCCTGTAGTCCTAGTTGCTAAGGAGGCTGAGGTGGAAGGATTGCCTGAGCCCAGGAGGTCAAGGTTGTAGTGAGCCATGATTGTGTCACTGCACTCAGTCTGGATGACAGAGTAAGACATCAACTCAAGAAACCAACCAACCAATAAATTAACCAACCAACTAACCAACCAACCAAAGACCTGGCAATTGCCTATTGGCTTAGTCTTGGTGCTTTCCCTAAGGCAGTTTGGGCCACAGGAAAATCACATTATCTGGGAAGCTCCAGTCCTCCGACATTTAAAAAGTGATGTCGGGTTAAAATACACAAGGATAGGTCTGAGATCTGTTGTGGCACCGAGACAGACAATGCCACTGCTTTCCTTAGCAAATTTCCATTCATGTGTCCATGTATGCCAGGCATCCTGTGGGAGGCATTAAGTGATTCAGTTGGGTGCGGTAGCTCACACCTGTAATCCCAGCACTTTGGGAGGCAGGGGCAAGAGGATTGCCTGAACCTGGGGGTTCGAGACCAGCCTGGGCAACTTGGCAAGACCTCTTCTCTAAAATGAATGAATGAATGAATAAATAAATAAATAAATAGCTTGGTGTGGTGGCACGTGCCTGTAGTTACAGCTACTTAGAAGGCTGAGGCAGAAGGATTGTCTGAGCTCCATAGGTAGAGGCTGCGATGGTGGTGAGCATGAGACTGCACTCCAGTCTGGGCAACAGAGTAAGACTCAGACTCAAAAAAAAAAGGGGGGGGGATTCAGGCTCCAAAGGGGAAGGTGGGGAACACTTAGCAGTGCAGAGAAGCAACAGGTGGCCTGGGTAATTGTTGTAGGCTAGGGGAGGGGATAGGGAAATGACCTGTGCCAGTCTGGGACTTTGGTAAAAACATTTTGTTCTTTTAGGTAGAAAGCTGTTCCATTATCTTAATGGTGGATTAAACAGCTATCTTGATGTGATGGTTAAATATATAATTGACATTTCCCAAGTGTTCTGCATAAATCAGGAAATAGGTGACTTTATCCATAATTAAAAGCCTTGAATTTTATCCAAAGGCAGAGCACACCCCACATCTGCTGATGTGGCTGCTGGCTCCCAGAACTTAATACTCAGTCCATAAACATGACAATCATCCTATTTCAGTGGCCCTGAGCCAAATTATTTAAATCCACAATTTAGGGCTGTGTGGACCTGGCTGTTTTTATTGTACATTAAGACTAACACTCCACTTGTGCCCAGCAGGTACAAGCTGGGAGATTTTGCTTCATTGAATCCCAAATTGTCGTCCTGCTGAAGACCTACTTTCTCATAGTAGAATGGCTACTGAATCACACAGATATTTGCTAGAAACTTGCTGTTTGTACCCTAAAACTTTATATTGTTCTAATACTAGGACACTGGCTAGGGAGGGTTACCAGGAATATACGTGTGCTTAAATGTTGTTCTGCACAGTTGGGACTCTCCATGTCACCAGGAGTGGTCCCTGAGAGGCCTGGGAGGATCTGCCCAGGAATCTTTCCTTTAGTTTCTCCCCAGTTGTGCCCTTGAGTTAAAACGCTACATCTTGCTTTCCCCAAAGTCTGTACCAGTTAGATTATACATCTAGATTTTCGTTCCAAAAGCCAGTCATCATATCTGTGATGTGATTATAGTCTTTTTAAAAAAATGTCCTTTTCTATGTCTAGAGAAGCAATGTGATATAATGGCAATCTTTCACATTTGAGTAATGCATGGCCCCTTCACAAGAAAATATTCTCTTCACCCTCAAAGTTGACTTTTAAGTTATTTTATTGTAACTTGCTATACAAACATAAAACCAGGCATAAACCCCTTGTGCACATTTCTCATTTGCAATTATAAAACCAAAATAAATGCATAACTTAAATAACACAACTACAGAGCCAATAAGATTTAAATATAACAACATTCAATGTAATACAGTAGTTAATATTTGGCTGAAACTAAAATCACCATTCCAAACATGAATATAGCACTGATGCTCCAGACGCAGAGTTTGAGTTTAATGTGTGTGTACTACCAAATACAGAATGAGAAGTGTTTGTTCCCACCTTTTTCTGATTGACCCGCAGTGATATAATTTGGTCTTCTTTTGGTATAATGCATTATGAAGTTCCACTCTGTTCTTTTCTAATTGGTTCGGGACAATTAAGGTAGTATTGGACTTGCTAACAGCACTAGCATAAACACAAAGCAAAATGGAAAAGTCCTAAAAGTGCTTTTTAAAGATGGTTCTCTAGAAGATCCAGGCCATGCCCCACTTTGAGAAAAGTTGGCATATTGGGAAAAGTGTGGGCTCTGGACTCCAAAAAGACTAAGTCAAAATTCTAACTACATGAACTTAAGGAATTGCATAATCTCTCTGAGTTCCAGTTTTCTCATTCGTAAAATAGAGCAATGTCCCTCTTACCTAGTTATTCTCATGATTAAATGAGAGAGTCTATAGAAAATGTCCAGCATATAATAGTTCTCAACAATTGTTACTTCCCCTCCCTTTACTCCTACAAGGTTTTGTTTCCCCCTAATACTAAAACTTAAAATTACCAAGAAAAGTCACAAAATTTAAAAATATTACTAAAGTTATGCAAGTAGCAAATGTCCAGAATATTTTTAAATGTAAAAATATATTGAATACAAAAATGAAAGTCCAACTTCACCATTCCTTTAGCCCCTCTCCCCTTTCTAGAGAATTCTGTATATCATTCCAGAATTTCTTTCATGCATTTATAAATGTGAACCCACACACATCCACACAATTTAAAACAGAAATAGAACCACAATCTACATGCTTTACTTATATTTTTCACTTAATCACAAATAACAGTATATCTGTTCAACACGAAGCTGTTTCTTAAAAATCTGCATCATTAATCTTATACACAACATATAAAATTCCGAGAACAACTAGAAATGTTCATGTTTCATTTATTCACTTATTGTCAATCAGAGTTCCATCATGAGACAGAAACCAGAAAATTTGGGGTTTTTTTAAATGTCCATTCCTTAGATT